GGACAGCTGGGGGCAGGTGGACCTGCTAGTGGCAGGATGGGAATGTCAAGGGGTATCATGGGCGGGAAAGGGAAAAGGAGAACTGGACCCTAGGACGACACTGGTGGAGGACCTGTTCTGCATTTTGGATAGGCTGCAGGAGAGGCAAGGCAGGGTGGCAAGGCAGGGTGGCGTACCTACTAGAGAATCTGGACTTGGAAAGGGACAGCAGAGAGCCAATTCGACTGGTGAAGGAAGGGATAAAGAAACAGTTGGGCAAGGGGGTGAGTTGTGATGCGGCAAGGGTAGGGTTGTATGCACATCGGCTACGGATGTACTGGCAGAACGTTGTGCCAGTGCAGAAGCAGCAGGAGGAGGCAGATGGGGTGAGGATAGATTCGGGGAGGAAAGTACAGGACATCCTAGAGCTCGGATGGACCCCAGCATCGGTGTGCAGGAACAGCTACAGCAGACTCTACCCATGCAACCAGGTGGGGCAGGACAGACGAGCTCCGCCCACCCTGGTCGCCAATGAGGGGGCAGCCGGTTATAAGTGGGAAGGAGAGAAGCCGAGGCCAGGCCTGGTGTATGACCACAAGAAACGGCAGTGGGAGGAGCCAACCGCGGTGTAACGGGAGCTAGCCATGGAATATGGAGAGAATGCCACGGCAGCCCTGGGAGTGAGCGAGGGAGAGAGGAGGAGGGCGCTAGGGAATGCCATGAACAGCCACATGCTGAGGTGGCTGGTTCAGCGGATGTGGCGAGAGACGGTTCCGAGCTGGGGGCACGGGGAAGAAGAGAAGGAGGCTGCGTCCGCCCTACAAGGAGCATGGAGCTGCCAGGAGGGAGAGAAAGAAAGGTGGACAATAGGAGACACGATTAGTGAGGAGGGGAAGGAAGCCACGCAACAGCTGGTGGCCAAGCACAGGAAGTGCTTCGCCTTCAACCTGCAAGAGTTGGGAAGGTGCAAGGTAAAGGAGATGGAGCTGAAGTTGAGTAGCACGGAGCCCGTGTTCCACCGAAGGAGGAAGATGCCACCTGGGGATGAGGAGATTTGTAAGGAGAAGATCAAAGAGCTGCTGGAAGCGGGGCTGATTAGGCGGTTAGAGTCGGAGTACGCTACACCGACCGTGGTAGCTGCAAGAAAGGACCTGATGGGGGAAATTCTGAGCAGGAGGATGTGTGGTGATTATAGGGCACTCAACAAAATCACCATACCGGACAGGTACCCGATGCCGATGGCAGAAGAGAATTTTGATAAGCTGGCGGACGGGGTCTTGTTCACGACGCTGGACCTGCGACAAGGGTTCAATCAGATCAAGATTAGAGAGGAATGTCGAATAGACTGCTTTTCATGGGCCAGATGGGCTGTACGAGTGGTTGTACATGCCCTTTGATTGAGGAACGCCTCTGCTGTGTTCAGAGGGTCATGGATGCAGTCCTGCGTGGTGTGGAGTGTGGTGCATGCTACATTGACGATGTGGTGATCTTCAGCGCCACAGAGCAGCAGCACTTATAGGATGTGGAGAGGACGTTGAGTGCAATAGAGGGGGTAGGACTCACCTGCCACCCGAAGAAGTGTAGGTGGGGAGAGCAGACCATACTGTACCTGGGATACGAGGAAACAGGGGGGCAAATTGGGATTCAACAGGTCATGGACAAGCTGCGGGAGCCCAAGGATAAGTCGGGGCTGCAGGCAGCGCTGGGCTTCCTAAACTACTACAAGCGGTTAGTGCCCAACTTCAGCAAACAAGCCATGGTGCTGAATGGGATGCTGGGAGGACAGGAGAGAAGCACAGAAGGAGGCACTAAAGGACTTGATGATAGCGGTAAAGACAGCAACAGTGCTGCAACTGTCGGCCGACTGGAGCAGCCAAGGAATGGGGGCCATACTCTGCGAGGAAGTAGAGGAGGATGAGAAAGTGGTAGCATATGCGAGCAGGAGCTGTAACTCGGCAGAGGCACAGTACATCTCATACATAGGGGAAGGATTAGCAGCAGTGTGGGCTGTGGGCCACTTCAGGGTGTACCTAGAGGGCCGTGAGTTTGGTGACGGACCACCAGCCAATAACGTGGTTGATGACCACACCGAGGCTAACAGGCAGGAACGCACGGTGGGCCATGAATAATACTGGAGTACGACTTCAGAATCCGGCACAGGCCCGGGAAAACCTTGCAGCACATGGACGGCCTCTCCCGCAACCCGCCACCACCAGAGCCCACGACGACACTGATCCTGCTGGCAAAGCAGGTAGAGGTGGGGGGGGGGGCAAGGAAAGCCATCTGGGAGGATGAACCGGCTATAGGGTGGGTGAAGGCGGAAACGGAAGAGGATGAGGAGATGACGGAGAGGGTAAGGGCAAGGGGGCACCACTACAGGTAGTACCAGCAGCAGCTGCAGATACAGACGGAGGATGGGTGGAAGCTAGTGCCAGCACCAGGCGAGAGGGAGGCAGTGATACAAGAAGTGCACACCAAGCTGGGCCACTATGGGCATGAAAGGACGTGCAGCTGTTGAAGACACAATGGTGGTGGGAAGGAATGTGAAGGCAGGTGAAGAAGAGGGTGGAGAGTTGTGAAGCATGCTATAGAAGCAGGGCGAACCTGATGCAAGCTAAGGCCGAGCTGCAGTCGCTGCACATCCGCGGCCTGGGCTTTAGGTGGTCCTTGGATTTGGTGGGAGAGTTGCTGCTGAGTCGAGGAGGGAAACAATACATTGTGCTCATGGTGGAGCACGTGAGCAAGTGGTTAGAGGTCAGGGTGATCCCAAGCAAAAACTCAAGGCATGTAGCAGCAGCGTTCAAGGAGAAAGTGCAGTGCAGATTTGGGGTGTGCGGAGAGATCCTCACGGACCAGGGGAATGAATGCCAAGGGGAGTTCAAGAAAACGTTAGAGGAGGCAGGCATAACCCACCCCGCACCTCCCGCTACCATCCTCAGAGTGACGGGTTAACTGCGCGCTTGGTGCAGACCATAAAGAGAGGATTGCGGGCATATGGGGAAAGGAGGGACTGGGATGACGAGCTGCGTTGGATTGCAGCAGGGTACCGGTTTGGGTAGCAAGCAGCCCAGCAAGATCACTCATTGTACAGCCTCTTGTTCGGATGCGAGCCAGTACTGCCTGTGGGAGCTCCACGGGTCCTGACAGATACAGTAACAGCGTGCACCATAGATAACTGGATGGCACTATCTGAAGTCAGAGCAAGGTACCTGCGGGTCATGATGCCAGCAGCAGTGGAAAACTTCCCCACCGAGCAGCTGAGGGATGCGAGACTCTATGAGCAGCTGCAGCAACAGGGGTCGGGAAAGGCAAAGAAGGGAGTCAACGAGGGTCAAGAAGTGTACCTAAAACGGGCGAAGCAAGACACGCTGGATGTTGGGTTGGGGACAGAAAGTTGGAGGGTAAAGGAAGTGCGCCCATCCGGGGTGCTGGAACTGGAGAACGAGAAGGGAGCGCAGCTGAAGGAGCGTCAGACCAACACGGCAGTGATCCAAGGAGCTAAGCCTCAGCAGAGAGGTCCTGTGACCTGAGCTCAAGTTGCTCGAGCACGGGCACAGGAGGGGGTAGGGAGTGGCTGAGGTGAAGCACCACACGCAAGGAAAGAAAGCAGAATGGCAACAGGAAGTAGAGCAGGTGCCGGAGGAAGGGTGTTGTACGACACTGAGGGTACAGGCGAGACTGGTGTTGGAGATAGAGGTGTTGGAGCTGGAGGTGCTAGAGCTGGAGCCAGAGGTGCTGATTTTGAGAGTGTTGGTCGTGATGGTGCTGGAGGTGTTCCTGGGACTGGCGGTCCTGGCGTTCGTGCTGGAGGAGCTGGGTCAGGGGGTGCGTCGCAGCAGCTGCCACGTCGGCCGTTCTTCTGGGAGCAGCATCCATCGTCGCTACCGCTTCCTGGGTCGGCGCTTGCGCTTGCGCGCGCGCGCGCGCGCGCGCGCGCGCGCGTGTGTGTGTGTGTGTGTGTGTGTGTGTGTGTGTGTGTGTGTGTCTGTGTCTGTGTGTGTGTATGTGTGTGTGTGTGTGTGTGTGTGTGTGTATGCGCGCGCACGCACGCGTGTGTGTGTGTCTGTGTGTCTGTGTCTGTGTCTGTGTCTGTGTGTATGTGTGTGTGTGTGTGTGTGTGTGTGTGTGTGCGCACGCGCGCACGCGTGGGCACGCGCGCGCACGCGTCTGTGTGTGTGTGTGTGTGTGTGTGTCTGTGTGTGTGTGTGTGTGTGTGTGTGTGTGTGTGTGTGTGTGTGTATGTGTGTGTGTGTGTGTGTGTGTGTGCGCTTGAGAGTCTCTTTGTTTGCTTGCTTATTTGACTAGTTTGCTTGCCAATTTGACTAGTTTGCTTGCCAATTTGTTGTTTTGTTTTGTTTTGTTTTTCTCTCTCGCTTTTCCTTTTCCTTATCAACCCTCTTTGTGGGAACCTGTGAGACGTGCAGGCAATCTACTTTTGGCCTTTGTTCTGTAGCCGTCTTGCAATGAATGAATGGATGAAGGAATACTAGCAATGACAACTAGAGAAGAGAACCATATGCCTTGATGGCAATGCTGTGCCATCAAGAAGAAGCATGATGGTTAGTGGGGTACACTCAGAGATTCTCCCATCTGTTGTTGGTGGTTAGTACCATCTGTTACTGTATGGCTCACACGTTGGCTGATCTAGCGACTGCTGCTCAGCGACGAGAGCCCGTACGGTGCTCATGCTGCTGCGGTCATCCCAGTTGCAGCAGCAACTCAAAGGTCCAAGTGGGTATTGCCAACCGCTGAGATTGTGGACGGGTGAGTGGAGGGGGTGGGTTTGGAAGCGCAGCGGCTGGGAGTGGGCGAAGGCAGGGTGGGGCCTGGGATAGACGGTGATGTAGTCCCGTGCATGGGCCAGCGCGGCAAGGATGGGGCGTGGCGATGAGGGAGGGGGGAGACAACAGGCGGGGATGGGGCAGCAGGCGGCAAGGAAGGTGTGACAACGCGAATCTGCCAGTCTTTCTCCTGGCCTTGCTCGTTGCTTACCCTCCACTATTTCAGCATGTGGTTTCCAATCACCACTCCCCATCATTGAGTGCAATGAACGTGTTGAAGAGCCGGCCATTGGTGGAGCGCAGCTCATTCATCAGGCGGCTCCAATTGGAGCCCAGAGTGCCGATGAACACGTCAGCCTGCGACGCTATGAGAAGGCTGGCAAAGCTGGCCGCCACGGACTGCTTGTCGTCGTACTCCCTCGTGTTGTTGGAAGAGGATGCTTGCCGCGCGTTGCTGCTGTAGAGAAACGTCCACTCGCGGTACGAGGTGAGGCTGTCAATCACAGCCTGACGTGATGGGTGTGGACATGTGGGAATACGACATCATTCACGGAGAAACCGCTAACGGTGGGAAACGGTGGGGTGAACCACTTACTTAGAAACATTCCTGCAGCTCACTGGATACACACATGTGCAGGCATGCTGCCACGTGCCTTGCATGCTGGAAGTGAAGAAAAACTAAGGCGAACAAGAGCACATGCACTCGCATGTGCAGGTATGTGCTCCGGTGTGTGTGAGGGCGCTGTGCAGCACATGTGAAGGCGCTGTGCAACACATGTGAAGGCGCCATGCAGCACATGTGAGGGCGCCATGCAGCAAGCACCTGGGACTCGGTGTTGATCCACGCGTGCCTGAGGTCGGGCAGCAGCAGGCGGAGCTGGTGGGCGAAGTACATGTACACGGGCAGCCCCAGCAGCCCCATCTCCTCCTCCTTGTCGCTGCCCCTCACATGCACCGCCACCACCGGTCGCACCACGTATGCCTCATGGGCCACCTGCTCCATCAGAGGGGGGCACAAGGAGATGGAGAGGGGCAGTGGGGTTGCTTCAGCATGCTGTTCCGCATGCAATGGGATTGAGCACCTCATTCACCTCCGCAGTTGCTCTTCTCAACCCCCCTCTCCTCATCCCTCCTCTCCTCTCCTCGCCTCTCCTCTCCTCTCCTCTTCTCTCCTCTCCTCTCCTCTCCTCTCCTCTCCTCGCCTCTCCTCTCGTCGCCTCTCCTCTCCTCTCCTCTCCTCTCCTCGCCTCTCCTCTCCTCTCCTCTCCTCTCCTCTCCTCTCCTCGCCTCTCCTCTCCTCGCCTCTCCTTTCCTCTCCTCTCCTCTCCTCTCCTCTCCTCTCCTCTCCTCTCCTCTCCTCTCCTCTCCTCTCCTCTCCTCTCCTCGCCTCTCCTCTCCTCTCCTCTCCTCTCCTCTCCTCTCCTCTCCTCTCCTCTCCTCGCCTGTCCTCTCCTCGCCTCTCCTTTCCTCTCCTCTCCTCTCCTCTCCTCTCCTCTCCTCTCCTCTCCTCGCCTCTCCTCTCCTCTCCTCTCCTCTCCTCTCCTCTCCTCTCCTCTCCTCGCCTCTCCTCTCCTCGCCTCTCCTTTCCTCTCCTCTTCTCTCCTCTCCTCTCCTCTCCTCTCCTCTCCTTGCCTCGCCTCTCCTCTCCTCTCCTCTCCTCTCCTCGCCTCGCCTCACCTCACCAGCCAGCCTGCTGACAGCCTCGGCAGCACGGCCACTGCTTCCTCCCTCCGCATCGCACCGCCTCCAACCACCACTGCCCGATTCCCCCACAGCCTCACCACCCATCCCCACGCCCTGCACCCCCTCTCCCAGTGCTGCTTGCTGGCGGTCCGGGGCAAGGGAGGGGGCCGGGGAGTGGAACGGCCAGGGTGCGCGAGCCAGTGCGGCGCGCACGCCAGGCGATGCAAATGACATGCCGCCCACTGCTGCCGCTTCCGCAGGCAGGCTGCCATCGCTGCTCTCGGTGCTGGCGCTGGTGCTGCTCTTCCTGCTGTTGGTGCCCGGGGTACTGTTTGTGCTGGCGGCTCTGCTGGTGCTGTTGTGAGAGGTGGCTTTGATTGCAGCGATCAAATCTGATTGGGTTTCGGCGAAGCGAGCGATTCGATTGGCGACGTGCATGCCGTAGGCGGTGTGTCTCTGTTGGTTGATGACGTGGCAGAGATGGGCTGATGGCCACCTCAGCATGAAGCGCACCGCCTGCGCCCGCCACCAGTGCACCTTCAGTGGGGGGAAGGGAGAGAGGTGGGAGGCGAATTCATGGATTGAGTGAAAACAGCTTTGAGGAATTCGCTGTTGATGTCCGCCACCTGCACCCGCCACCAGCGCACCTTAATGTTCTGGGGGGGGTGGCGGGGAGGGGCGAGAGCAAGAAAAGGAATCCGAAAGTGCACGGTTGGACAATGCGCCCCCCACCAGCGCACGGTTGGACAATGCGCCCCCCACCAGCGCACGGTTGGACAATGCGCCCCCCACCAGCGCACGGTTGGACAATGCGCCCCCCACCAGCGCACCTTCATGTCATTGAGAGCGGCGGAAGGAGGGGGAGGGGCGAAAACAGAAAAAGCCATTAAGCAAGCGCAGAGGCGCACCGTGTGCCTGGCAGCAGTGCAGTGCAGGTGCTGATGGCTGAGCATGGCGACGAATCAAGTGCTGTTGTGACCATGTGAGAAGCTTTTTGATGTTGTGCGCACCTGAGGGGTCCTGTCATCGTTGGCCGCGGCGCCCGGGGGGAACCACACCGTGCTGGGCCGGCCCAAGTGTGGCCGCCCCCACTGCCTGAGAGAAGAGGGAGGGAGGAAAGAGGGAAAGGGAGGGATGGCGGGATGAGGAAGGAGAGTAAGGAAGCATCTCAATGCACCACAGCAACGGTTTCCCAGCTGGGGGGTGGTGTGTGAGCAAAGCCACACAGTCAGCAGGACGGGGCGGTGTACTTGCCAGTTTCACGAATGACCTGTCCGCCATGAGGCTGGATTGGTTCGGTTCAACAGAAAAGGCCCCGCCCTCGCTTGGGCAAAGTCGGCCATGCTTTTCGGAGCACAACGGTGTTCATTTCGTGGTCATCGGCGACTTCGGGAACTTCTATCTGGGACTCTAATCTCTGTGCGACGGGTCGATTTTCGACGAAATTAATTCGTCGAAATTGAAGTGTTGTTTCTGCTCCACGCAACTGCACGTCGACGAGGCACTTGTCGACGTGAGGAAATCGGCGTCGAAATCCAGCCTCGCGGGTCGACGGAATTGAAGAAAACAGAGTTTAGACAGAATTAAAACCCGCAGGCCAAGAATTTCAACCTTAGGAAGGTTGGTTGGGAGTGAAAACGCAAAAGGCCTGCGAACCAATAGGAGTGTCCGAAATGTTGGACGAGGTCTAGAATTCGGGAATGATCACAGGCATTTTTGGGACATCCAACCAACGCTAGGAAGGATGAACCAAATTTGGCCTTCTTGGCCTGCGGGTTTTAAGCTCGAAAGAGGCATTGTCGAGCAGAGCGATTCTGGTCGTCCGAAATTACTTGTCTCCGAATTTTGCAATGTGCACGAATTTCGACAAATCGCGAAACAACAAATTTCGACCAATCAGAGCATTTCGAAAATTGTACTCCCCAGGAAATTTCGAATCAGTAAGGAATCTGAACCTGAGGCACGTTTTTACTAACAGTAAAACCGCAAATAACTCTGAAAGTTGTAAACCTGAGAAACTGCCAATTCAGGTGAAAGACATGTGCTTGTCGTTTCACCTGCCATTTCTGACTCGGCAAAGGTGTTAGCTTGTCGAGGAACGTTTCTCCAGGGTTTTTTGTCTTTGTTATTTGGTTCTCCTTCCATGTACCATAATCTTGTTCTATCAATTTTTTGTAGTGAAACTATGCTTGAATTCTACCAAGGCATTCCAACACTCTGTCAAGAATCATTGCCAGAACTCTGACTGTGCGTCCCACGCAATTCAGCTCTCCCTTAAAAAAACATTCTCCATAGACGCGCCTCGGCTATATAAGGCCAACTCAACCAACTGTTTCGACTCGAACTGCAGTTGGTTCAAGCTGATCAGTTTTGGCTTCAAAACAAACGAACGAAGTCCAACCGGTTCGATTTGAGGTCCAATACTATGCACGTGTGTACTCACACATGCACTCCCCCATCCCATACACTCCCCAATCCCATGCACTCCCCCATCCCATGCAGTCATGCACGCACAGGGCAATGCTGGCCTCGTGCTCGAGCTCGAGGTACGGCATGCCCTCCAGTCGTGAATGCACCTCCCCAATGCACTCACTCACGCACTCACTCACGCACTCACTCACGCACTCACTCACGCACTCACTCACGCATGCACTCGTGCCCCGCTGCCCACGCACTCCCCCACGCACTCCCCCACGCACAGGGCAGCGGAGGCCTCGTGGTCGAGGTCGAGGTACGGCATGCCCTCCACGCCCACCACGCGGTGCTGCGACGCACACAGCGCCCCCACGCCTTCCTTGCCCCACACCACGTTGTTGGCGTCCTTGGCAGCCATCACCACGCGCTCACAGTCCGGCGCCACGATCGGGAAGAAGTAGCAGTCCCACTGCCCTGCCTTGCTCATGTCTGGGCCAAGAGGATGGTGAGGGCGGAGGAGAGGCACGGCTGATGACTTTTGAGTCGACTCAAAAAGGTTTCATTCCCTTGCGAGTGATCTGGGGCAAGAGCAGATAGATGTACAGCAAGAAGCTATGGATGGTCACGGGATGGGTACGAGAAGTGCAGCAGCGAGCACGACGCGTGGGATAGCAATGGAGTGGAGAGGCAGTGTGATGGGTGTGGGGTGGGCGGACGGACATGAAGCAAGGGAGTTGAGGGTGATAGGCATGGGCCTGCATGTCAATGGGGATCACAGAGTGGTGAGCACTGCGCATGACTATGTTGTGATCGCGCCTCACCTGCGCACTGGTCGGTGTAAGCGCGGTTGTAGTTCAAAGGGTCGGGCACGAGCGTGCGATTGTGGCGCATGGCTATGCTGAGGAATGACGTCATCACATGCACCTGTGCGTGCATGTGCGCATGGAGGGGAGGGAGGAGAGCACTCATCACATCACATCACATGCACCTGTGAGTGGGAGCATGGAGGGGAGGGAGGAGAGCAGTCATCACATCACATGCACCTGTGAGTGTGTCCCCCTGTCCGCCTTCCCACACACACACTCACAAGCACGCGCGTACCTGGGACCCCACCCCATGCTGGAAGTCGGGCGGCCACGACACCACCAGCAGGCGCCTGTCCGCACACGTGCCGCCTGGGAACTGGTTCGCCCAAATGTCCCTCTGCACGACACGTGTCATCGCCAGATTGGCCACGTCCGTCCCGCGAACCTGCATGGTGACGGGGGGTTGGGTGTAGGGATGGGCAGCAGGGGGGAGGGGGGGGGGTTGAGTCGGTTTAAAATCGCGATGGGTAACAGAGGGTTGGGTGGGGGAGGAGGGGGGAGTGATGGCGGGATGGCAAAGGAGGGAGGCAGGAACATCAGAGGTGGTGGGAGGGTGACAAAGGCGGAAGGGGAGGGTGGGGGAGGGGAAAGGGGAGGTGGGCAGGGTACCAAGTGGCGTACCCAAGGGGGGTGAGGCGAGGGGTTGCACGAGTCTAGGGGCTCCGCCCATAGGGGGAGCTCCCCCCCTTTCCCCCGCTGCTCCGCCTGCTGGCGCAGCGCTGTGAGCGCGGTGCAGTCCTCGAGATGAGGGGCGGGGGGGAGGGAGGGCGGAAGGGAGAGGGGCGAGGGCGGAAGCAGCGAGTCGGCGGAGAGCCCGTAGGCGTCCGCCCAGGCCTGCGGGAAGGAGAAGGGTAGGTGGGGAAGCGGGAGGGGAGAGCGGGGGAGGACCGATGGCAGAGGAGGGGAATGGAACGGAAGGGAGGAGAGGGGAAAGGGGAAACGTAAGAGTGGGAGGGCGGACGAGAAATTTTCGCGCCATCACTTGGGCAAGGCAAGTGGCAACGAGGACACGGGGAACGATGCACAGGGAGGGGGAAGAACGCGAGGGGGTACTCAACACGGTACAGCGAGAGGACGTGCTCGGGGCCCGCTTCTCCGCCCACGGAGAATTCGCGCAACCCCGCCGCCAGACCACGCGGAGCCGTGCGCGCCACCACCAGCAGCACGAGAAGCGCCGCCGCGAGAAGCCGCAGCCACGACTGTGGCGCTGACGGCGGGAGGGCGCGCGCCGCCAGGCGGAACGCCATGCGCGCAGCGACGCGTTCCGCCGCCACGCCAGGCGGGTGGCTCTGCGCGGGTGACTATGCGCGGGTGGCTCTGCGCGGGTGACTCTGCGCGGGTGGCTCTGCGCGGGTGACGCGGGCAGCGGCGGACACGCGCGAGGCGTTCCAGCGCGCCGTCACCGTCACGAGCGCACGGGCATCAGGCGCATGTGGATGGGGAAGGGCGCAACCGCAGCGGGGTGGTTGCACGACCGTGGCATAGAAGCACGGCCCGCACAGCGCGCTTGGGAAAGAGTGGACGAATGTTTTCTTGGCTTGCTCGGAATGCAGAGGATCCGAACGTCACTAAATGCGCAAATCTCGATACATGCTAAAGTGATGATTTGTACACCCAGCGAAAAACGCTCTGCAGTATGTCCACCATTTGTTTTATCAGACTGTTACTCATTCCGTCCAGTTGGCGCCTCACTTTGTTTTGTTGATATCACCGTTGGATATTGTTTTGGCGCGTATTGATATGGGCTGAGCGCACCTGATTTGAATGTCTGTGGACGGGGAAATTAGTGGCTGCGGAAATGATGGCTGGCGGAAGGTGGGAAGGGGATGGGCAGAGGCCCAGTGGGCGAGAGTTTCAAGTACCGGTAGGTGAGCGATGTGCACTGACAGGTGAGGAGTGGCTGACAGGTGAGGAGTGGCTGACAGGTGAGGAGTGGCTGACAGGTGAGGAGTGGCTGACAGGTGAGGAGTGGCTGACAGGTGAGGAGTGGCTGACAGGTGAGGAGTGGCTGACAGGTGAGGAGTGGCTGACAGGTGAGGAGGAGTGGCTGACAGGTGAGGAGTGGCTGACAGGTGAGGAGTGGCTGACAGGTGAGGAGTGGCTGCCAGGTGAGGAGTGGCTGACAGGTGAGGAGTGGCTGACAGGTAAGGAGTGGCTGACAGGTGGGGAGTGGCTGACAGGTGAGGAGTGGCTGACAGGTGAGGAGTGGCTGACAGGTGAGGAGGAGTGGCTGACAGGTGAGGAGTGGCTGACAGGTGAGGAGTGGCTGACAGGTGAGGAGTGGCTGACAGGTGAGGAGTGGCTGACAGGTGAGGAGTGGCTGACAGGTGAGGAGTGGCTGACAGGTGAGGAGTGGCTGACAGGTGAGGAGTGGCTGACAGGTGAGGAGTGGCTGACAGGTGAGGAGTGGCTGACAGGTGAGGAGTGGCTGACAGGTGAGGAGTGGCTGACAGGTGAGGAGTGGCTGACAGGTGAGGAGTGGCTGACAGGTGAGGAGTGGCTGACAGGTGAGGAGTGGCTGACAGGTGAAGGAGTGGCTGACAGGTGAGGAGTGGCTGACAGGTGAGGAGTGGCTGACAGGTGAGGAGTGGCTGACAGGTGAGGAGTGGCTGACAGGTGAGGAGTGGCTGACAGGTGAGGAGTGGCTGACAGGTGAGGAGTGGCTGACAGGTGAGGAGTGGCTGACAGGTGAGGAGTGGCTGACAGGTGAGGAGTGGCTGACAGGTGAGGAGTGGCTGACAGGTGAGGAGTGGCTGACAGGTGAGGAGTGGCTGACAGGTGAGGAGTGGCTGACAGGTGAGGAGTGGCTGACAGGTGAGGAGTGGCTGACAGGTGAGGAGTGGCTGACAGGTGAGGAGTGGCTGACAGGTAAGGAGTGGCTGACAGGTGAGGAGTGGCTGACAGGTGAGGAGTGGCTGACAGGTGAGGAGTGGCTGACAGGTGAGGAGGAGGGGCTGACAGGTGAGGAGTGGCTGACAGGTGAGGAGTGGCTGACAGGTGAGGAGTGGCTGACAGGTGAGGAGTGGCTGACAGGTGAGGAGTGGCTGACAGGTGAGGAGGAGTGGCTGACAGGTGAGGAGTGGCTGACAGGTGAGGAGTGGCTGACAGGTGAGGAGTGGCTGACAGGTGAGGAGTGGCTGACAGGTGAGGAGTGGCTGACAGGTGAGGAGTGGCTGACAGGTGAGGAGTGGCTGACAGGTGAGGAGTGGCTGACAGGTGAGGAGTGGCTGACAGGTAAGGAGTGGCTGACAGGTGAGGAGTGGCTGACAGGTGAGGAGTGGCTGACAGGTGAGGAGTGGCTGACAGGTGAGGAGTGGCTGACAGGTGAGGAGTGGCTGACAGGTGAGGAGGAGTGGCTGACAGGTGAGGAGTGGCTGACAGGTGAGGAGTGGCTGACAGGTGAGGAGTGGCTGACAGGTGAGGAGTGGCTGACAGGTGAGGAGTGGCTGACAGGTGAGGAGGAGTGGCTGACAGGTGAGGAGTGGCTGACAGGTGAGGAGTGGCTGACAGGTGAGGAGTGGCTGACAGGTGAGGAGTGGCTGACAGGTGAGGAGTGGCTGACAGGTAAGGAGTGGCTGACAGGTGAGGAGTGGCTGACAGGTGAGGAGTGGCTGACAGGTGAGGAGTGGCTGACAGGTGAGGAGGAGGGGCTGACAGGTGAGGAGTGGCTGACAGGTGAGGAGTGGCTGACAGGTGAGGAGTGGCTGACAGGTGAGGAGTGGCTGACAGGTGAGGAGTGGCTGACAGGTGAGGAGGAGTGGCTGACAGGTGAGGAGTGGCTGACAGGTGAGGAGTGGCTGACAGGTGAGGAGTGGCTGACAGGTGAGGAGTGGCTGACAGGTGAGGAGTGGCTGACAGGTGAGGAGTGGCTGACAGGTGAGGAGTGGCTGACAGGTGAGGAGTGGCTGACAGGTGAGGAGGAGTGGCTGACAGGTGAGGAGTGGCTGACAGGTGTGGAGGAGTGGCTGACAGGTGAGGAGGAGTGGCTGACAGGTGAGGAGGAGTGGCTGACAGGTGAGGAGGAGTGGCTGATAGGTGTGGAGTGGCTGACAGGTGAGGAGTGGCTGACAGGTGAGGAGGAGGGGCTGACAGGTGAGGAGTGGCTGACAGGTGAGGAGTGGCTGACAGGTGAGGAGTGGCTGACAGGTGAGGAGTGGCTGACAGGTGAGGAGTGGCTGACAGGTGAGGAGGAGTGGCTGACAGGTGAGGAGTGGCTGACAGGTGAGGAGTGGCTGACAGGTGAGGAGTGGCTGACAGGTGAGGAGGAGGGGCTGACAGGTGAGGAGTGGCTGACAGGTGAGGAGTGGCTGACAGGTGAGGAGTGGCTGACAGGTGAGGAGTGGCTGACAGGTGAGGAGGAGGGGCTGACAGGTGAGGAGTGGCTGACAGGTGAGGAGTGGCTGACAGGTGAGGAGTGGCTGACAGGTGAGGAGTGGCTGACAGGTGAGGAGTGGCTGACAGGTGAGGAGGAGTGGCTGACAGGTGAGGAGTGGCTGACAGGTGAGGAGTGGCTGACAGGTGAGGAGTGGCTGACAGGTGAGGAGGAGGGGCTGACAGGTGAGGAGTGGCTGACAGGTGAGGAGTGGCTGACAGGTGAGGAGTGGCTGACAGGTGAGGAGTGGCTGACAGGTGAGGAGTGGCTGACAGGTGAGGAGGAGTGGCTGACAGGTGAGGAGTGGCTGACAGGTGAGGAGTGGCTGACAGGTGAGGAGTGGCTGACAGGTGAGGAGTGGCTGACAGGTGAGGAGTGGCTGACAGGTGAGGAGTGGCTGACAGGTGAGGAGTGGCTGACAGGTGAGGAGTGGCTGACAGGTGAGGAGGAGTGGCTGACAGGTGAGGAGTGGCTGACAGGTGTGGAGGAGTGGCTGACAGGTGAGGAGGAGTGGCTGACAGGTGAGGAGGAGTGGCTGACAGGTGAGGAGGAGTGGCTGATAGGTGTGGAGGAGTGGCTGACAGGTGTGGAGGAGTGGGGAGACACACGAGCGAGCAATGATGGCAGAAGTGGGAGAGGAACGGCAGCAGCAGGAGGGAGGGTTGAGCAAGACTGCAAGGGGGGCTGGTGGAGTGGAGTGTAGGATGGGGGAAGTCTGGAGGCTGAGAGGCGCGAGTCAGAAGACCGTAGGGTTGAGGGATGGCGGGGAGAGCGGGGCTGGGGTAGGAGGGAGATGATGGGTGGGCAGGAAGCGGCATAAATGCATCCAAGGCAAGCCATGGCATGTGTGGGAAAGTAACGGATGCACATGCACACGGGAGAGGGGATGGCACGGTGCAGAACAAGGGAGAGAAGCAGCAAGTCGGACACATTGCGGAGCACAGATGCCACAGTGCTGCAGGGGAGCAGCCGGCTATACATTAAACCTATTCAAAAAATCAGGGTCCATTTTCGCTTTATCCTGAAACTTTTTGAACCAGCGGTCGAGAATATCCGAGGGGACGAGCAGCATGGAACCCTGCACGGTGCTGAACGACTGCATGTAGTTGAACAGGTTCTGCCCCACCTTCAGCGCCATCTCCTCCACCCGCCGCTGCCACCCCACGTTCTGCAGCGGCAGCGATGCCATCGGCTCCACCGAAATGCCGATCTGCGCCGTCGGGGGGACGCCGCCGGGCGGAAAGGCCGGCAGGACGGCGCCGGTAGGGGCGACGGCGGCCGGCCAGAGGAGGGGGAGGACGGCGGAGGGGCAGCCGAGGTGGACGGCGCCGCGGTACTCGAAGGGCGAGCCGGGCGCCTGCACGTACACGGCGAGCGCCTGGCCTGGCGGCAGGGCGGCCTCGTTGAGCAGAAAGATGCAGATCTCCTTCACCTGGTCATACGCGTCGCCTGCCAAGTGGATTGACAGGATATGTGGCGCAAAGGATCATGCTTGATTGAGGGACCGGCGTACGTAGAGGAAGTTGCTAACTGCGGGTGTCCTGCTGAGACACTATAAGGGTATTAAAGTAAAAAAAAGCTTGATGGCCTACTTATTGAAAAGCTTACGTAAGTGACGGGCTTACCTACAAACATGTTCATCTCGAGCACCCAATGGAAGGTGTCGACCTGCTTGAAACGCGACACGTCCAAAGGGAAACTGCGATTGGGGAAGAGCACCCCGAACATGGCCGCGCGCACTTGAGTGTCACGGCGAGGCGCGGCGCGAAAGCAAGGCACGGAGGAGAGTGGCGATCACGAGACGGAATCGATGTCAGTGGTCGAGGTGCGGCCTGGCTCGAGATGAGCGGGCGTGGGGCTAATCGGCAGAAGCCGCAGCGACAGGCGCGGATGGGCGTCGGTGCGAGGAGTATACACTATGGCGGCCTAACAAGATTGTTTCTGACGCGGTGATTTGAATGAAGTGAATTCATTCAATAAATGAATTGGCACTGAAAGTTCGTCCACAAGCTTTTCATGAATGTTCAGGCTGCGCAGTAGCGCGGTTTAGAGTGGTGAAGTGAGGAACCTGCTCAGGATTGCACATTATCGTACTCAACCACTTGAAGCAGGGGACTTTGGGACCTTCGGGATGAGGCGATCCAGCAGCACCAAGTGGTTGCTGGTGGTTCTACCGCAATGAAGATTGCGAAATCACAAGCAACAGATGATTCGCTTAGACGACTTTCGTGCACCTTCGCGATGCTTCGTGAATGATCCTTCAACTTCCAGAGAAACGCATATTGGATATGAATTGAACGTGATTTCCAAAACGAACGGGGAAGGAAGCACAGATCCGCACCGCATACTGTACTTGCCCTCGTTTCATTTCCCATTGCAATTTCGTACGGCCTCGCGGACGACCCGCGCTCTGCGCTCCCCCCCTCCCCACTCGCACTCCCCGCGAACGTTCCGCCAGCCCCGCACCTGGAGGACTGCGCGCAGGCGTCGTTCTACCGCTTCATCGCGGAGGACCGGAGCGGAGGGGGAGGCGGAGGGGAAGGAGAGGGGGGTTTGCCGAAATGGGCGGTGCAGCCCTCTTGCTGCCACTGCTCGCCACAGACACCCTGGGTATAGTCACAGACACCCTGGGTATAGTCACAGACACCCTGGGTATAGTCACAGACACCCTGGGTATAGTCACAGACACCGTGGGTATAGTCACACTCCAGTTTCTCCATCCCAGGCTCTACTCACAACGCCACAGCCCTCCTGCCACAGCGCTGCTTGATCCGAGCCGTGCCGTTCTGCACCGTGCTACCCCGCACCTGTCAGCTCCTGCCTTGCTCCTCCTTTCTCCACTTTCTGCACTTCCCTCCGTTCCTCTCTCCGCCCCGTCTCTCCTCTGTGCTTGCTGCCCTACTCTCCTCGTGCCGTTCCTCCTCTGCTCGGAGCGCACTACCCCTCCCATTGCCCTCATGCCCCATCCCGACCACACAGCAGCACCCTCATCACCCTCATCACCTTCTGCCTGCCCCTCCCTGCCGTCCCTCCCTGCCGTCCCTCCTTGCCGTCCCTCCCTGCCGTCCCTCCCTGCCGTCCCTCCCTGCTGCCCCTCCCTGCGCGCCTCTGCCCCTGGTGGCGGCATGGCATGTGCCCTCACCCCATGGCATGTGCCCTCACCCCATGGCATGTGCCCTCACCCCATGGCATGTGCCCTCACCCCATGGCATGTCCCCTCACCCCATGGCATGTGCCCTCACCCCATGGCATGTGCCCTCACCCCATGGCATGTGCCCTCACCCCATGGCATGTGCCCTCACCCCATGGCATGTGCCCTCACCCCATGGCATGTGCCCTCACCCCATGGCATGTGCCCTCACCCCATGGCATGTCCCCTCACCTCACCCCATGGCATGTCCCCTCACCCCATGGCATGGCAGGTGCGCGGCTCAGATGCTGACAGCCTGGCGCACACAAGGGAGGCACAAAGGGACATATGGACCAATCAGATGCCGCCACGTGGCTGCCAGGACAGGCGCCTGCTGGTTGCGCCTTGGCCTGACGCCTCTCGCTTCTCCCTTGCACGTCAGGTGCCTCTCCACTCTCCACCTGCCCTCAGGTGCCTCTCCACCTGCCCTCAGGTGCCTCTCCACCTGCCCTCAGGTGCCTCTCCACCTGCCCTCAGGTGCCTCTCCACCTGCCCTCAGGTGCCTCTCCACTCTCCACCTGCCCTCAGGTGCCTCTCCACCTGCCCTCAGGTGCCTCTCCACCTGCCCTCAGGTGCCTCTCCACTCTCCACCTGCCCTCAGGTGCCTCTCCACCTGCCCTCAGGTGCCTCTCCACCTGCCCTCAGGTGCCTCTCCACCTGCCCTCAGGTGCCTCTCCACCTGCCCTCAGGTGCCTCTCCACCTGCCCTCAGGTGCCTCTCCACCTGCCCTCAGGTGCCTCTCCACCTGCCCTCAGGTGCCTCTCCACCTGCCCTCAGGTGCCTCTCCACCTGCCCTCAGGTGCCTCTCCACCTGCCCTCAGGTGCCTCTCCACCTGCCCTCAGGTGCCTCTCCACCTGCCCTCAGGTGCCTCTCCACCTGCCCTCAGGTGCCTCTCCACCTGCCCTCAGGTGCCTCTCCACCTGCCCTCAGGTGCCTCTCCACCTGCCCTCAGGTGCCTCTCCACCTGCCCTCAGGTGCCTCTCCACCTGCCCTCAGGTGCCTCTCCACCTGCCCTCAGGTGCCTCTCCACTCTCCACCTGCCCTCAGGTGCCTCTCCACCTGCCCTCAGGTGCCTCTCCACCTGCCCTCAGGTGCCTCTCCACCTGCCCTCAGGTGCCTCTCCACCTGCCCTCAGGTGCCTCTCCACCTGCCCTCAGGTGCCTCTCCACCTGCCCTCAGGTGCCTCTCCACCTGCCCTCAGGTGCCTCTCCACCTGCCCTCAGGTGCCTCTCCACCTGCCCTCAGGTGCCTCTCCACCTGCCCTCAGGTGCCTCTCCACCTGCCCTCAGGTGCCTCTCCACCTGCCCTCAGGTGCCTCTCCACCTGCCCTCAGGTGCCTCTCCACCTGCCCTCAGGTGCCTCTCCACCTGCCCTCAGGTGCCTCTCCACCTGCCCTCAGGTGCCTCTCCACCTGCCCTCAGGTGCCTCTCCACCTGCCCTCAGGTGCCTCTCCACCTGCCCTCAGGTGCCTCTCCACCTGCCCTCAGGTGCCTCTCCACCTGCCCTCAGGTGCCTCTCCACCTGCCCTCAGGTGCCTCTCCACCTGCCCTCAGGTGCCTCTCCACCTGCCCTCAGGTGCCTCTCCACCTGCCCTCAGGTGCCTCTCCACCTGCCCTCAGGTGCCTCTCCACCTGCCCTCAGGTGCCTCTCCACCTGCCCTCAGGTGCCTCTCCACCTGCCCTCAGGTGCCTCTCCACCTGCCCTCAGGTGCCTCTCCACCTGCCCTCAGGTGCCTCTCCACCTGCCCTCAGGTGCCTCTCCACCTGCCCTCAGGTGCCTCTCCACCTGCCCTCAGGTGCCTCTCCACCTGCCCTCAGGTGCCTCTCCACCTGCCCTCAGGTGCCTCTCCACCTGCCCTCAGGTGCCTCTCCACCTGCCCTCAGGTGCCTCTCCACCTGCCCTCAGGTGCCTCTCCACCTGCCCTCAGGTGCCTCTCCACCTGCCCTCAGGTGCCTCTCCACCTGCCCTCAGGTGCCTCTCCACCTGCCCTCAGGTGCCTCTCCACCTGCCCTCAGGTGCCTCTCCACCTGCCCTCAGGTGCCTCTCCACCTGCCCTCAGGTGCCTCTCCACCTGCCCTCAGGTGCCTCTCCACCTGCCCTCAGGTGCCTCTCCACCTGCCCTCAGGTGCCTCTCCACCTGCCCTCAGGTGCCTCTCCACCTGCCCTCAGGTGCCTCTCCACCTGCCCTCAGGTGCCTCTCCACCTGCCCTCAGGTGCCTCTCCACCTGCCCTCAGGTGCCTCTCCACCTGCCCTCAGGTGCCTCTCCACCTGCCCTCAGGTGCCTCTCCACCTGCCCTCAGGTGCCTCTCCACCTGCCCTCAGGTGCCTCTCCACCTGCCCTCAGGTGCCTCTCCACCTGCCCTCAGGTGCCTCTCCACCTGCCCTCAGGTGCCTCTCCACCTGCCCTCAGGTGCCTCTCCACCTGCCCTCAGGTGCCTCTCCACCTGCCCTCAGGTGCCTCTCCACCTGCCCTCAGGTGCCTCTCCACCTGCCCTCAGGTGCCTCTCCACCTGCCCTCAGGTGCCTCTCCACTGCCCTCAGGTGCCTCTCCACCTGCCCTCAGGTGCCTCTCCACCTGCCCTCAGGTGCCTCTCCACCTGCCCTCAGGTGCCTCTCCACCTGCCCTCAGGTGCCTCTCCACCTGCCCTCAGGTGCCTCTCCACCTGCCCTCAGGTGCCTCTCCACCTGCCCTCAGGTGCCTCTCCACCTGCCCTCAGGTGCCTCTCCACCTGCCCTCAGGTGCCTCTCCACCTGCCCTCAGGTGCCTCTCCACCTGCCCTCAGGTGCCTCTCCACCTGCCCTCAGGTGCCTCTCCACCTGCCCTCAGGTGCCTCTCCACCTGCCCTCAGGTGCCTCTCCACCTGCCCTCAGGTGCCTCTCCACCTGCCCTCAGGTGCCTCTCCACCTGCCCTCAGGTGCCTCTCCACCTGCCCTCAGGTGCCTCTCCACCTGCCCTCAGGTGCCTCTCCACCTGCCCTCAGGTGCCTCTCCACCTGCCCTCAGGTGCCTCTCCACCTGCCCTCAGGTGCCTCTCCACCTGCCCTCAGGTGCCTCTCCACCTGCCCTCAGGTGCCTCTCCACCTGCCCTCAGGTGCCTCTCCACCTGCCCTCAGGTGCCTCTCCACCTGCCCTCAGGTGCCTCTCCACCTGCCCTCAGGTGCCTCTCCACCTGCCCTCAGGTGCCTCTCCACCTGCCCTCAGGTGCCTCTCCACCTGCCCTCAGGTGCCTCTCCACCTGCCCTCAGGTGCCTCTCCACCTGCCCTCAGGTGCCTCTCCACCTGCCCTCAGGTGCCTCTCCACCTGCCCTCAGGTGCCTCTCCACCTGCCCTCAGGTGCCTCTCCACCTGCCCTCAGGTGCCTCTCCACCTGCCCTCAGGTGCCTCTCCACCTGCCCTCAGGTGCCTCTCCACCTGCCCTCAGGTGCCTCTCCACCTGCCCTCAGGTGCCTCTCCACCTGCCCTCAGGTGCCTCTCCACCTGCCCTCAGGTGCCTCTCCACCTGCCCTCAGGTGCCTCTCCACCTGCCCTCAGGTGCCTCTCCACCTGCCCTCAGGTGCCTCTCCACCTGCCCTCAGGTGCCTCTCCACCTGCCCTCAGGTGCCTCTCCACCTGCCCTCAGGTGCCTCTCCACCTGCCCTCAGGTGCCTCTCCACCTGCCCTCAGGTGCCTCTCCACCTGCCCTCAGGTGCCTCTCCACCTGCCCTCAGGTGCCTCTCCACCTGCCCTCAGGTGCCTCTCCACCTGCCCTCAGGTGCCTCTCCACCTGCCCTCAGGTGCCTCTCCACCTGCCCTCAGGTGCCTCTCCACCTGCCCTCAGGTGCCTCTCCACCTGCCCTCAGGTGCCTCTCCACCTGCCCTCAGGTGCCTCTCCACCTGCCCTCAGGTGCCTCTCCACCTGCCCTCAGGTGCCTCTCCACCTGCCCTCAGGTGCCTCTCCACCTGCCCTCAGGTGCCTCTCCACCTGCCCTCAGGTGCCTCTCCACCTGCCCTCAGGTGCCTCTCCACCTGCCCTCAGGTGCCTCTCCACCTGCCCTCAGGTGCCTCTCCACCTGCCCTCAGGTGCCTCTCCACCTGCCCTCAGGTGCCTCTCCACCTGCCCTCAGGTGCCTCTCCACCTGCCCTCAGGTGCCTCTCCACCTGCCCTCAGGTGCCTCTCCACCTGCCCTCAGGTGCCTCTCCACCTGCCCTCAGGTGCCTCTCCACCTGCCCTCAGGTGCCTCTCCACCTGCCCTCAGGTGCCTCTCCACCTGCCCTCAGGTGCCTCTCCACCTGCCCTCAGGTGCCTCTCCACCTGCCCTCAGGTGCCTCTCCACCTGCCCTCAGGTGCCTCTCCACCTGCCCTCAGGTGCCTCTCCACCTGCCCTCAGGTGCCTCTCCACCTGCCCTCAGGTGCCTCTCCACCTGCCCTCAGGTGCCTCTCCACCTGCCCTCAGGTGCCTCTCCACCTGCCCTCAGGTGCCTCTCCACCTGCCCTCAGGTGCCTCTCCACCTGCCCTCAGGTGCCTCTCCACCCTGCCCTCAGGTGCCTCTCCACCTGCCCTCAGGTGCCTCTCCACCTGCCCTCAGGTGCCTCTCCACCTGCCCTCAGGTGCCTCTCCACCTGCCCTCAGGTGCCTCTCCACCTGCCCTCAGGTGCCTCTCCACCTGCCCTCAGGTGCCTCTCCACCTGCCCTCAGGTGCCTCTCCACCTGCCCTCAGGTGCCTCTCCACCTGCCCTCAGGTGCCTCTCCACCTGCCCTCAGGTGCCTCTCCACCTGCCCTCAGGTGCCTCTCCACCTGCCCTCAGGTGCCTCTCCACCTGCCCTCAGGTGCCTCTCCACCTGCCCTCAGGTGCCTCTCCACCTGCCCTCAGGTGCCTCTCCACCTGCCCTCAGGTGCCTCTCCACCTGCCCTCAGGTGCCTCTCCACCTGCCCTCAGGTGCCTCTCCACCTGCCCTCAGGTGCCTCTCCACCTGCCCTCAGGTGCCTCTCCACCTGCCCTCAGGTGCCTCTCCACCTGCCCTCAGGTGCCTCTCCACCTGCCCTCAGGTGCCTCTCCACCTGCCCTCAGGTGCCTCTCCACCTGCCCTCAGGTGCCTCTCCACCTGCCCTCAGGTGCCTCTCCACCTGCCCTCAGGTGCCTCTCCACCTGCCCTCAGGTGCCTCTCCACCTGCCCTCAGGTGCCTCTCCACCTGCCCTCAGGTGCCTCTCCACCTGCCCTCAGGTGCCTCTCCACCTGCCCTCAGGTGCCTCTCCACCTGCCCTCAGGTGCCTCTCCACCTGCCCTCAGGTGCCTCTCCACCTGCCCTCAGGTGCCTCTCCACCTGCCCTCAGGTGCCTCTCCACCTGCCCTCAGGTGCCTCTCCACCTGCCCTCAGGTGCCTCTCCACCTGCCCTCAG